TTGAGTAAGCAACCTAAGTTCCAGGAGTTTATGCTTAAGGAGATAGAAAGACAAGTATATGTATAAACAAGGCTTTTCATTGCAACAATATTTGTTTAAAGGTAATCTGGAAATAACTTAAATATCTATGAATAAGGGCTTGGTTAAGTCAATTAGACTTCAACCATTCTCTGAAACATTATTGTCTTTAAAAGTATTGATGTAGAAAAATGTCCATTAAAAATATTGAGTGAGAAAAGCAGGCAATAAAACAAAATTTTTAAATTTTGTTTTTGTTTTTCTTTTGTGGGGTCAGGGGAATGAATATGTATATATGCAAGTGTGCTCCTATGTACGTGTAAAGAAAAAGTCTAGAAATACATATGCCAAAGTGCCAACAGTTATGGAATAATGAGTAATTTTTTACTTTCTTCTTTATGCTTTACTTTCTTTTTTGTATAAAGGGCAGTTTTTTTTGGGGGGGAATTTCAAAAAATAGAGACAAGTATAAATACAACTACCACCATATATCCACAGCCCAGTAGTGACAACTATTGAAATTGTATTACATTTGCTTCAGGTCTTCTTTAATAAAAGAATTAAAACACTGAAGTCAAAGTTGCTATGGCAATTCCTTCTCCCTGCCTGAAGAACCAACTACTATCAGGTATTTAGTGTGTATCTTCTGTATGCATCAGGGTTCTCCAGAGAAACAGAACCAGTAGGATGTGTGTGTGTGTGTATGTGTATGCACATATATGAGGGTGTGCGTAGGATGTGTGTGTGTGTGTGCCTATAATGAGATTTATCATAAGGAAATAGCTTAACTGAGAAGTCTCAGGTATGCACAGGGTGAACTGGCAGGCTGGAAGCTGAGAAAGAGCTGATATCTCAAGTCCTAGAACAGGAAAAAAGCCAAAGTCCCAGTGTGAAGGCAGTTAGGCAAGAAAGAATTCTCTCTTATTTGAGGGACAGTCAGCCTTTTTGTTCTATTCAGTCCTTCAACTGCTTGGATGAAGCCCACCTGCATTAGGAGGGACAATCTGCTGTACTCAGTTTATCTCAACAGTTAATCTCAACCACCCCTCACAGAAACACCCAGAATAATGTTTGATCAAATATCTGGGCACCCTGTGGCCCAGTCTAGTCAACACATGAATTAACTATCACAGTCTTCCCAAACTATTGTTTACAGTCTTGTATTGAGGTTTAATTTGCATGCAATGTTAATGTATGGTCCTATGAGTTCTTTCAATCTCTTTTAAGCACACACAAACCACATACATAGCCATAAAAATAAAGAATTGTAATTTAAAAATCAATATAAATGTAATTATATGTTTATTTTAATCAATATGATATTTGGGGGGCCAATCCATATTGGTATGTATAATTCAGTAATAAATAGATTTCAGAATAAAAATGCAGTTTATTCCTTTACTATGGTGTAGGATTTAGTTTAAATATACCATTCTATTTACGGACATTTAGGTTTTTTGAATATTTCTCTACCACAATCAATTCAGCACCAATTTTATCCTTGCATGGCTCTTCTTGTGCAATGGTGACAGAGATTTTCCCAGGAAACTGGATCACATGTTTAATTTTCCTCCATACTGCCAAATTGCTTCCACAATGTATGAGAAGCCCCATTTGCCCACATCCTGTCCAACACTTGATATTTTTAGATTTATTAATTTTTGTCAGTCTGAAGGATGATAAATAGAATCTCATTTTGGTTATTTTGCATTGTCCTGTTTACTACTGAGATGGTTTAATGGCCATTTAGGTTGCCTCTTCCATTAATTATCTATTTATTATTTTTACTTACCTTTCTAATGGGCTGTTTGTCTTTTACCTAATTATTTGGTGGGATGATTTATGTGTTCTGCATCCTATATATTGCAAATGTCTTTTCCCCGTTTGCATTTATCTTTTAACCTTGGCTATCGTGTCTTTTCCTTTATGGCATGTGTCTGATTTAAGAATCTTTTCTATAATCACAGATACTGTCCCAATATTATCCTCTAAAAAGTTATTTGCATGAGGTATGAGCAGGGATCCAATTTTATTTCTTTTTGGATGTGAGATATTGTGTCAGTCACTTATTGCTACATCACCAATTACTCTAAAACTTAACAGCTTAGAACCACAAACACTTATTATCTCACAATTTCTGAAGGTCGGGAGCAACTTAGTGGGGTGGTTCTGGTCAGGGTTTCCCAAGAGGTTGCAGTCAGATTTTGGCTGGCATGCAGTCATTTGAAGGCCATGCTTTCGAGGTGGCTAACTCTCACGGCTGTTGGCAGGAGGCCTCAGTTCCTCCCCCTTAAGGCCTCTCCACAAGGCCTGCCTGAGAGTCTTGATGTGCTAGCTAGTTTTCCCAAGAGCAAGTGATCCATTTAAGAAAGAGAAAGTGTGAGTAAACAGGAAGGTGCAGTGCTTTTCATGACACAGTTTCTAAAGTCACACATTGCTATTGCCATTTATTCTCTACTTAGAAGCAAACCCACTTCTATTCACCATCTAGTCCACACTCAGTGAGAGGGGAATTACACTCCACATCTTAAAGGGAGAGTATCAAAGAACTTGCTGAAATCCACCGTAGTATAAAAAGTCATTTGTCCCATCCCTACTTCTAAAACCTACCCTTCCTTACTGATCTATAATGACACATCTATCATGTTTCAGGTTTATCAGGTTTCCATGCAAGCACTTCTCTGTTTCTGGACTCTGTTCTAATCTATTGATCTGGTCCTGCACCCACATTACACTTTAACTTTACAAATCTTGATGTGTGATCTCTCATGATAGCTAGCCAATAAACCACACCTCCTGTATACAGAGCCATGGCGTCCCCAACTCTTAAATCTAGGTTGGCTTGGTGACTTGGGAGGAGGTAGAAGTAATACTATGCCAGTTCCTGGCCTAAGCCTTGGACATGTCAGCTCTGGGTTAGTACTGTTGGGAGCTCTGAGCCACCATGTGACTAGTCTGGCTACTCTGCTGGAGAGACCCACAGGGAAAGACTGTGTAAAGGGGGAGAGGCCCCAGACTCCCTAGAGAAGGAGAAACTGGGCCATCTCAGTAAGGCAGCTGACTCCAACCCTGAGCTGTGTGAATGTGACTACCTGGGTGACCACCTGCAAGGACAGAAGAACCAGCCAGCTGAGCCCATCCCACATGCAGAGTCACAATGGTTGTTTTAGGGAGGTTTGCTATACCCCAATAAATAACTAAAACAGCTCTCCATTCTGGCTTTTCTTTTTCAAAATTATTTTATATTGAACTAATAATTGCATTAGGGGAAAGAATATTGAGTCTTTTTGCTTGTGTATTCTGCTTTTCTTTTTCAACGAGTATTATTTGGAAAATGAAGTCCTGAATGTCATTTGCTTAATTTATTCTTAGATTCAGTATAATTACTATTGCTATTTTGAATGAGAAATTTTTCTACTACATTTTCTAATTGGTTATTGATGGTATAAAGGAATGGTAATTTTTAATGCTGATCTCATACGTAGCAACCTTGCTTAAAACCCGTTTATTTTTTCTGCAGTTTGAAGATTCTCCAGGATTTTCAATGAAGACAATTTGCAAATAATGAGCATTTAATCTCTTTTTCCTTGATGTTTTGCCTTTCTTTTCTTGTCTCTTTTCATGGGCCAGAACTTCCAGGAGAGATAATAGGCCCCCTGCATTATACCAAAACTTAATAGGAATATGTTCAAAAGTTTCATCACTAACTATGATATTATCATAGGTTTTTTTTGGGGAAAATGTTTTATTACGTTAAAGTAGTTCTTTTCTATTCTTTGTTAAAAGTTCTATTATTTTTTAAATGAATGAGTGTTGAATCTTATTGCCTGCATTTTTCTATATTTGTTGAGATAATCATATGGTTTTCTTCCTTTTAATATCTTAATCATTTATAGTAATTTGATACATTTTTCTAATGTGTGTCATACATATTTTTACAGGATAAAACCAATTATGCTTTTTTTTATATACTATACTGCTAAATAGATATGCTAGGCTTCATTTAGAATTCTTGTATTCATATGTTTTATATTAATAAATGATATTGGCCTATACTTTTCATTTGTTGCTTTTTAAAAAAAATATTGTCCTTTTCTAGTCACATGATCTTATAAAATGAATTAGATAACTTTTCTTTTTTCTACTACCTGGAACTGTTTGGCTGACATAGAAATAATCTGTTCCTAGAAGGTTTGGTTAAACTTGCCTATTAAGTAGTCTGAACATGTTGCCTTTCTTTATAAAGGAGAGATATTTGACCAGACATTCAATTATTTTATTTTAGTACTTACTGGTATATTTAGATTTTCTATTTCATCTTGGGTCACTTTATAATTTATATTTTTCTGTAAAGTCCATTTCTTGAAAGTTTTCAAAATTATAGACAAAAATTTGCTTATAGTCCTTTTTGTCCCTAATTTGCTTCTTTTTTTCTAGTCAGTCTTTCTAGAGATTTGTCTATTTTGTTTTTATTAACAATCTTTTGGTTTTATTGGTAATTTTAATATTTTTGGTTTAGATTCTATTATCTGTGTTTTATATTATTTCTCCTAAATTCTTTTCTTTCTAGATTATTTTCTCTTTCTAGATCATTCAGTTGAATTGTTAACTCATTCATTTTCAAATCTCTTTTAATTTCATCATGATTTCTTTTTCAATCCAGAGATTTTTTAGAATGATATTTTTTATTGTCAAATTTATGCAATGGGAAATACGTATCTACTGTTGGTTTCTATTTTTAGTGTATTGTGGTGAAAGAACATGACCTGCATGACATCATTCCTCTGGAATTTGTTGTGATTTCCTGTGTGGCCTAACAAATGGTCAAGTGTCTAAACGTTCTGGGTGGGCTTTTAAGAGATATACATTCTTTATTTGCTGGGTGAAGCTTCTTTCTAAATACCTATTATTGTTTCTAAAATAATATATTGCTTTCAGAATAAATACAAACTTTGATTGTTTGGAAAATATCTATCTTTCAGGAACCTCATCTTATCAAAAAGGGAAGAAGAGTTCCAGAAGGAGAAGCTGAGTAACATCCGGGGAAACGAAGGGTGCAGCCTTGACCCAGTCCTGGAAAAACCAAGCCCTGTCTGCAGGCGGATGGATGTTAACACTCTTGCCCTTGGAAATTCCAGAACAACAGCTTAGGGCGGAGTGAACGTCAGCTGCGCAGGTGACACAGAAGTGGTCCCTGCCCAGACAGCATAGTTAACGGCTGCTGGTTAATTGGGCCCTTCCTGTTTTGGATATGTCCCCTTTGCCTATACTCAATAGGGGTTTTTAACTTCAGATATTATCTGCTTAGATTGGACTGGGTTGAAGTGAATTTAGGTGGACTGAATATTCATTTAGCTTGGCCTGGGGTTGGCATTCTACGTAAGGGTGGCTAGGGAAGGTCTCTGCCCTATACCCAGACCTTCTTTCATTCCATGTGAGTCCTTGAGGGTTTATTTCTCTCTTTTAGCCAGGAGAATTGTCACTAGAAATTCACTGAGGGCAACTTTCTTTCCACTTCTTTCTCATTTTCGTAGTTTGGACCCTCAGAAACAGGCTTTCCTCCTCAGGCACTGTTGCGATGCTCGTCAGCAGCCGGGGCTCCTTTGCTCTATCTTCCTTCATCTTCCTGCCTGTGATTACGCACACTCATGAGTGCCCCTCCGCTGCCAGATGGCCTTCCTTTGGTTGGGGCATAAGCAAGCTTCCCAGCTGGAGGCCAGAGAACCCAGCCAGTGTCAGCAAGTGAGAGACCTGATGGAGAGATGGTCCCCAGTCCCTCAAGAGCCCGAGGGCCCACAGGCCAGCCATCCCCAGCTGCGTGAAGTCCTCCTGTCCTCCCTGGCTCACCCCGATGTGTACTGTCAAATGCAGGTCTGCCTCGTTTGACGGCCCTTCACATTATTGCACTTAGCAGGTCCTTCATATTTTACAGAGTGAAGGTGTGCAACCCTGCATCGAGCAAGTCTGTGGGTGCATTTTTCCAACAGTGTCGTTCACTTTGTGTCTCTGGGTCACATTTTGGTCGTTCTCACAATATTTCAAATGTTTTCGTTATATTTATGTTGGCGATCTGTGATCAGGAATTATGATTTGCTGCAAGCTGAAAAGATGGGAAGCATTTTTAGCAATAAATATTTTTAAATTAAGGAATGTACATTGTTTTTTTAGACATGATGCTATTGCACACTTTAATAGACTACAGGGTAGCATACATAGAACTTTCATAGGCACTGAGAAACCCAAAAGTTCATCTGTTTCACCTTATTGTGACATTTGCCTTACTGTGGTGGTCTGGAACCAAACGCACAACATCTCCAAGGTATTTCTGTACTATTTTTCTGAGTACCGCAATCAGAGGGAGTGGAATAATGCTCCTAATTTGAGTTGCAAATTCTTTCTCTCTCCAATAGTATTTACTTTCTGCCAGACTGAGGGATATTCTTCTGGTGTGCCAATCTGTGTATGCAAGCATTGTGTTAATGATTTGGTATGCTAACTAGTTTTCCTATGTGCTTACTGATCTGCCTGGAAAAAGCTCCATGTTTACTTTCTATTTATTTAGAGCAATTCTATCATTTGTCTCTATGCCTTAACCCTCTGACTGAGGCAGCAGAAAGTTACACAGAACAATATTATTCTAGAGAAATTGTGGGCATGAAGAGGCCAAGTGCTCTATGTTTTTTCACATATCCAGAAGCAAAGTTTCTCATTTTTTGCATAAGTTTGGATGCCCAAGTCCCTGTGTATTTACTTTAAACCCATGCCCAAATCCAGGAGCTACATTTTGGTGGTGGTACTTAAAATAGTGTGTGTTTCTTTTGGCTTGGTGAGTGACACAGGTAAGACCTGTTGCTGTACAACCTAGTTGAGTCAACTAAGGATTCTAGAGGACTAGTAACTAGAGGACTGGTAACTAGCTAGACACATTTAGACTCTGTCCCTCAATAGTTCATTTACTCAGAGTTGGAATTGAAGACAAAAGACATTTCCCAGCATGTGACTAGAATCGCTAGCTTGTTTAAACATTTCAGTGTTTTTTCTTTATTTTAATTGTAAGAAAAAAAGGAAAATACAGGAATGTATTAAGAAGTGGTTTTCATATAAGCCAGGTGGAGAAAGACAAGTACCAAACGATTTCACTCATCTGTGGAGCATAAGAACAAAGCAAAAACTGAAGGAACAAAACAGCAGCAGACTCACAGAACCCAAGAATGGACTAACAGTTGACAAAGGGAAAGGGACT